GTTTAACTAACCGGTGCATAAATGTTTTTCTTGTGCTCAATCATACATAAAAATGTCATTCTACATACATTTTCCCCCATATTGTATATTAAATATTTTCTGTTAATTTAAACTTCCAAGTTGATTATCTGTGTGTAGTGTGAAAGGATATAGAGAGCAGCTTTTTTGCACAGACTTATAAACCTTTATAAACTCCTGCAATATTTTTATTTCTTTAAACTCTGTTTATATTAATGGGAATTTGTTCATTCCAAACTGTGGGTTAACACACTTTGTGGCTTTTCTGCCCTCTGCTGGTGAGTTGCAGACGTGCAGTTATGTTTTTATTTTTCATTGATTGATTGATTGATTGATTTTATTTAGCGGTAATATTGCATGTGCATACACATCTAGTGCATTCATTATTAGTACTTGGATAACACAAGAAAGCTTGAATCACTTATTTCCATTGTGGTCCAAAAGTTAAGTTTGACACGTTTATGCGTATATTTGGGATCTGGGCTTGTTTTTGAATTATAGAATTTGTTTGGTTTTACCTCAGGTGGATGAGCATCTTGTTGAAGAGTGATATGATGGACCAGGTGATCGATCAAKGTTTAGGGGGTCTCTTCTCATTAACGAGGATGTTGCTCCGGTTGGTTTTGATGAAGAAATAATTGAGTTGAAAATGCAAAGCATCTGATCAAGATCCCCCCTAAAGTTATTGATATGACTATTATCATGACATACAAGCTTTGACTTGCTTTATGAAAAGGAGATCTATTGATTGGGGGAAGAAATAGTTGCAGGGAAAAAGCATGTAATGACTGTACTCGTGCACAGGGGGGCAGCACTGTCACGTCTAACATCTTGCTCCTATTTTTCTGGTGTGCGCCGATGGTTTGAAAAGCCTGCAGAAAAGGTAAGTTTAGGCCACGCCCACCTCCCCCCAGGTGTAGCGAATTGATTAATGAGCTGTCCGGGGTACAAGAGGAAAGACGACTCGATATGGTAGGCCTCAAACTTTCTTTAACCCGCAATATTTTCCACAGTTTCTCGTGAACAGTTCAGCTCTTTTATGTAAGATTTAGCTCTTCACACATTTGAACCAAACAGCTTMAAACAATTTGGGACAATGATGATGTTTGTTTGTTTTACGTTGTTTTTGTGTGTCCTAAACATTTTACCTTTAAACCTTTTWGGTGAAACAATTTTATTCAGTGTACCTGGAAGTGTTTATGTTTTAAGGTGTTTTAAAGTTGGCTAAAATCAAGGATTTATATCAGGTGTGCTGGAGAACAGCTGTGGCCTSTAACAGTACACAGAAGAATAAAAAGAAACACTAAAATAAATGCATTTATAGAAAWGAATAGGCTTTGTTTTTAAAGCCCTTGAGTGCAAAATATGTTTGAGTAAAGAGAAGGAAAAAAAATCTTCCATAATTTAGTGTTAATGCAGAAAGTTGAAGGACTGCTGAAAAGGCCGGAACATAGTAGTTAAAGCTAAAAAAAAAAAAGCAGAACATTAATAGTTTAATAGTATCAAAAGGCTAGCAAAAAAAAACCCTAAATAGTATCCTAAGATGAGCTAAAAGCTAAATGTAGCCTGCAGTTAACTAAATGCTAAAAGTAGCTAATAGTGATGGGACTTGAGGCTTTTTATGGGGCAAGTCTCAGCAAAAAGAAATATCTCTTGTTCGAACGTCTCTTCGTTCTGCCGCTCTTTCAACTCTTCCTCGGCCCTTCAGAGAGCACACTGGATCAATCACTAGTAGCTTAACAAATCAAAAAACGAACTGAAAGCTAAAAGTAGCAGAACAATGTGTAAAATCTAAAAGTAGCATAAAAAAGATGCAGAGTTGCAGAAACATTTCAAGGAGCCCAAAGATTTGGAAAAAATAATGTCGGAAAAACCAAAAGCTCGTAGTAGCTACCCGTCCACTGGATGAGCACAACGTTTAGATGTAAAGCGATGGAAAAAAAGCACGAAGTTTGTAGAAGCAGATTGCAAACTGCTGACTCAGCATTCCCTAAGTTAATTCTGGATAAGTTTCTGATCTTCAGCGCTACAACAGAACATTATGGTCGATGTGATGCTTGGCTTGMGTTTTATTTACATTAAGTTGTACGCTTTTATGGACCTGCTTCTCCTTTCTGTTGTAGTTAGAAAAAAACATGTAACTCTATTTTTCTTTTCTTTCTTTCTTTTTTCGTTCTGAMTTTAACAGACATGTTTTTGGACTCGGGGAGGAAACAGGAGCACCTGATGTAATGCAGAGGGAGAAAATGCAACCTCTACATCAAAAGAGCCCAGTCAAGACAACAGGGTAACCAATGGTAAATTAACTGATCTCAGGAAAAGAAGTAATCTATTTCCTTTTTTTTTGTGCACTTATAAATATTCAAGAAAAKGCAAATAAAGAGATTTTACATTGGAAAAAAAGGAACATAAATGTGCAAAGAGTTCATGAATGTTTCGCTGTAGTGTTGCTCAGATTTGGTTCAGTCAGGCTGATGCAGAACCTGCCATCTCTGCTCTCTGATCTGCAGTCAGGCCTGGTCGTTCCTGCGCCGCAGTGACAGAATCCAGACAGCAGGGGGAGGACAAAGTCCCCCCTCCTCCCTCCAGGAGAGCTGGGAGCCTCGCAGCTGGTCTGAAGAGGTGTGCAGCTTGCCTCGGAGTGAGTAAACACAGACGCACTAAACAGGTTGGGGGAATTTTCTGCTTTGCCAGAACGAAATCTGGCTTCGTTACCGTCAGCGAGAGCCTCTGTGTTTTTAATGATGTCACGTTCTGGGGAAATGATGTTCCCTGAAATGTGTGTGCTTTATAAGCACACGGAGACATTGTTCTACTTTTATCACCTATTCACTTAGAAAATTTATAGCTCAATTATCCAAGTTTTTTTTTTCTACTTGACATTTGAGCACACTTTAAGATTGGAGTGACATCTTAACCGTCCCTTGTCTTTTACCCGCTGTTACATTTTTATCACTTAGCAAACATGCTCCACAAAACTCAGCTCCAGAGATTTTTTTTTTGTTGTATTTTTTATTCCCCCTCCCAGACAACGAAATGTCATGTAAGTCGCTTGTCTCAACTCTGAAGTTTGACTTTGGCAGCAGTCTCTCTTTTTGACTGACAGTCCCATGAGCGATACAGCTCCATCAAAAAGCACAGCCTGATATGACAGGCCTCTTCAGACCAAATATACTCCTTGTTCCTGGCAATACATCATCTTGACAAAAAAGAAAAGTGGTTAAGAAAAACGTGATTTGGCCATCCGATGTTCATTTTACTGTGGAAAAATTACAAAAGCCCCAAGTTAGCTTTCTGTTTTTTTAAAAATAATTCAACAAATCGTTTGACTATGAAATGTTGATGAGACTGAGTTCATCCTTCATACTTTCCTGACTTTTTGTTCATTTAGTAAGGATTTCTGTTCCCACCAATATGATTCTCAGCTGATACAGGAATTATTGTTAGTTCTGTACTTGCACAGCTAACACTGTTTATTGTTAATTATGTAAATTAGGGTTGGTCGTAATTGTTTCGTGGGTAATTAATCGTCAGAAAAACATTAATCGATTACTTTTTGGCTCTTGGCGATTAATACGATTAATGCCACCAGGCAGACTGACTGGAGATTACTCCGGTCAGTCCGCTCGGTGCTCCTCTCCGCTTCAAATATGACCAACATTAAAAATAAATTTCTGTAATTTATTTACCTATCTACACAATTTAAAACATGATGTATAGCCTGAAATTTGTAATTTTCACACAATTTGGAACAATTTTTTATAAAGAGCAAATCTTTCCCACTAAATTGGTCATGTTACTGGGACATAAGGGTGTCCAGGGACTCCAGGGGATTAATCGTCAAATTAATTGTTATCGGCTAAATACCACAATTAATCGTGATTAATTTTTTTTGCCAATATTGCCCAACCCTATGTAAAATTGTCACAAATTTGAAAGACCTTATTAGGAAAAACTAAGGGTTGATTTTATGGGTGTCACTGCTCATATACAGACCTCATAAGTTCAGTACAACTTTTTATTTGTTGACTTTAGCTTTTTCCTTCTTGCTTAGTTACACTGCAAAAATTTATGTCTAACCAAGTCTTACCATCTTGTAACCAGACAAAAAGTAGCCTTGATCTTGTTTTGAGACAAAGCAAGAGCAGAATATGTTAGATTATTAATCTTGTTAGCCTGGAAATTGTCCGTATTTCAAGGAATCTTACCAAGTGTAGTTATCCTAATGCGTTGGCAAATTGTTTCACTTAATTTGAGAATATTCAGAATTTAATCTTGTATTTTTTTTGTAACCTTTTTTACATGACTATCTTTTGCATTGTAGGTTTGATAACAAGTCGATCTGGTTAGGTTTAGACATTTAGCACTACTTGGTTAGATTGATTGTGCATGCCTCTGCTGCTGTCCATTTCAGCAAAACACAAGCAGCTTCCCCTAAAAACTCGGAGTCAGACTGTCTTTCAGCTCCCTCCAAAACTACTCTTCGGTTTCTAAATGGAGCAACACAGGCATGCACCATCGAACTGCACATGGCTCTTGCTCCTTCCTGTCTGTTGACCAATAGGAGAGGAGCTGACCCAAGAAGGACCGCCCATCTTGTTTGCATAATGAGGCAGAAATGCATAAGGTAAAGTAAAAACAGGAGACAGAAAGATGTAAAAAGACATGGAAATAAAGAGTTGTGGGGAAAAAATACAAAAAAATTATAAATATGATAAAGTTCTCATTTTTACATTTAATTGGTGCTTTTAAAGTGTATTAATTTATTTATTGGTCCATTTACATATTTCTGCTTTTATTTTTAATTACGTCAGTTTCGGTCCTCCATATTGGCATCTCAACCTATGGTCACTGAGGGAAATCTCAAAGCTTATCTTAAAGTACACCTTCTCAGAATGTATAAAACACTGAATAAAGATAATTTTTTATTTTAACATTGCTAAATTCCACCTTTTTTATATAAATGAAGCAGAACTTCCTGCAGCTGTTGTGATTGGACATCWGTGGTGGTTGGATTTCTGCAGAAACGTCACTGACGCTCCAGACTTAGCGCAAATGCTGACATGATTGCTTGGATGGATTCATGATAGAAAATTACTCAGATTTAGTTTTATGCAAAAGTCTTAAGCCATCAATTATTTGTTTATAATTTTCTTCCAGACAGGCAGATTTTTTTTAAGCAACAAGGTTTCTGAAGATATTTTCAGCTCTCCTTTCATCCATTTTTAATCTATTTCCTAAAATACCTGCCCACCATGTAATTTACCTGTGTAAAATATACCCTGAACCTTAAATGATACATATTTCTATTAACACCATAAACCCACAGATTAGATATTGTGATCTGTTCACTAAATATTCTTGTGCAGTCACCAGACAGATGTGCAAATCCTCATCATTGTCTTTTATACCTTCATTCTGCGTTCCCATTTAGCTAATAAAGTGTAAAAACCGTAATGATTCATGGCAACCATTTACATAATTTATAATTAAATCACAACCTGATGACTTGGAATTTATTAATAGTGAAAGTGCACGTGCCAGGATTGTGACATACTAATTAATATCTTCAGTTATCATTTGCACATTGCTCACTTGGCTGCAGTCTGGTTACGGGGCAGGAATAATGCTTCGCAACATCAAATTATCTGTGCATTTAAGTGGGAATGTCCTGGAGTGATGGCAACAATATGCAATTGCCTTAAGAAGTTAATGAAGGAATCTGTTTTATCTGGGTTGTCACATGTTCTGGCGAATCATTATGAACACAATAAAAAAAAACAGAGTTGATGCATTTTCATCCTTTAGCTGTAGAAAAGGGCTGCAGGGTGTCTTTAATTGTGTCGTCTACATTTTCCACAGTTTCTGTCATCCACACGTTCTCAGTAACACATTATTTTGTAAGCAGGTCAGTGTGAATATGGCAGTAAAAACATTTAGTTGTAATTCAATGTTTTGTCAGAATCAGGAGCCACAGTTTTTAATGTTAAACAGACTGCACTAACCATTGCACCACCTAAATGAAAAACATAGAAATCTGGAAATAAAATCAAAACATCAAGCGTCAAGTGAGTATTTTCTACAATGGCCATGTGTCACATCTGGGAGAAATTTAACATCAATCTCTTCATTTCTTAAAAAAAAGAAAAAACAGCTAATGAGCAACCAAATTTAATCAGTTTAAAGGAGACATTTAATGTTTTTAAATCATCCTTTTTCACTCTAAAATCATTCAGTTGGGGTCTATATAAAATGGAACTGCAATGCTTTGGTCTGCATTCCTTTGTTGTAACTCACAAGCCCCTCTTTCACCCCTTTTCTGAGGTGTGTCTCAGACAAACTCGCTAGCTTCCAGACCAGTTAATTGTACAGCTTGATAGAGGGGTTTACGGCTCTATAGCTGCGGAGAAACGTTGTCCATCCAGCCTTACATGTTGGAGCCAGAGTCTGACCCAGAGCCAGAAGAGAATGAAGACCACCAATTTGTAGTTGGGAAGTCCAGACCTTATTTAGGAGTTCTATCTCAAATACTGACACAATAGTTCAGAAAACATAACAGAAAATTGAGAAAACTGAACGAATGAAAAGTATAGTGTATGTACTCCACACAGGGACAAACAAAATTTACATTTTCTGCACTCCTAGAGACTCCAAGTATGGAACAAAATGCATAAAAAAAGCTAAAATAGTGGATTTTGCAAAACATGTCCCCCTTAATATTAAAACATCTTTAGAAGAAAAATAAGAGGGTCACTTAGATAAAAGTATCTTAAAGATTTGAAATAGTTAGATCTGGGTCTGAATTACCCCCTCCATTTGTTGCACAATGTTTCATTCAAATAGTCGCAAAGCACTGAAACACTGAGCAGAATAAAAAACAAAACAAAAAGAAAAACATTGCATAGGTCTTCTGGACGGGTTCTTCTTCTAAGAACCCRTCCAGAAGACCTATACAATTTTTTTCTTTTTGATTTTTTACCTGGATTACTGAGATGCATCAGGACTGAGCAGAATAAAACACATTACAGGCAAAAGTGAAATCATTTAGGAAAGCTAGTCAACTTGTCCCTTAAGCAYATTTTTCCCTTCTTCCATAAACTTGTTCTGGTCTTAATTCAGACAATTAATTCAGAACCAAACGTCCACTAATTCTTTCCCCGGCATTGGACAAACAAAGGGATCCTCCTCACTAATGGTCCCCGAGGCTTCACCGTTACCTTATTGATCTGCTGTCACCCAATTTCTCTGTGACTTATGCCCTGCTTAATTCCCATTACTGTGCACACTGAAGCCTTATCAGGGAGAACAATGGGTTTGTTGTCACTGAGGGCAAAAATATGAGCGGGCCTGTGACAGTGTGAGCGGCAAACTCATGACTTCGAGTCTACAAGCCCTCTCTGTGACCTCTGCAATCATGTATCCCAGCTTTGAGCGCGGTGCCCAAATACTAAACTCATTCTGGGTTGTTTGCAGATGAATCAGAAAATTGGATCTTGGTTGTTTCGCGGAAAAAGGTCCCCCCCAAAAAATAACAGTGGTTTGACTCTTTAGCCATAAAACTGTCGCCATGATTTGTCTCCAGCATTGATGCTTCTCAGCTCCTGCTTGGCCCTTTACCTTATTCGCTGCTATCTCTTCCCT